CAAGTATGATTAGAATGTTCCAACATGGGACATTTGGACATTCATTTGTGATGACTGGTGTCAGGGCTCAAAATACTTTTTCTGTTAGAGTACCAGCAGTATTGCAAATTTGTAAAAAATGTTACCAGAAATTTAGGAAAATGTGGCCCAGCAATTTGAATGATTTTGCCAATTCAAGCAGTTTAGACAGCAATTTTGGATGCCCATATTGAAAATTTTGGGATACCAAAATTTTTCCTGCAATTTGGGGAAATACCAACCCTTCAAAAATCTTCTCTAACAGATGAAGCCTTACCTATCTTGTTGCATATCTTTGCAGTAGCTGGAAACTCGCCATGTAGATTTAAATCTGTGTAAGGCCATGTTGATTTGATTATATGGATGACATCCGCGCGCGCATGAATTTTCGGCCGTTTCAAAAAAAAAAAGTTTTCAACCATACTGTAAATCGTACAAAACAGTTGCAAAATGAGCAAAAATATACCGTAAGTTACAAAAAAACCATACCAATGTCGTAGAATGCCAAAATCAAACGAAAAAAAGACGAAATTGTAAAGAAATGAACTTGAAGACTAGATTATTCGCCTAACCATATTCTGTCCCATTTGTTCAACCCTCATGACCACGTAGATTTCATAATGAAAACACCTTTTTTTTTCCGAAACTTTTTTTTTATTCGCACGCGCGCATCAATTTTGGGGTTCCCGGAGGATGTCATCCATATAATCAAATCAACATGGCCTAATATGTAATTACAGTCACATAATCACAACAAAGTCATAAATCTTGGTCTTCCAGGTTCAAGCAACAAAATAGTAAGGTTCTAACTGAAGATTGGGTTCACCCATTGTCTTTGTGGCAGTAACCAAAGAGCAAATACAACCTAGCCCACCATTAGTGCAGACAGTGTTGTTGCCATAAGGCAATTAGCTGTTTATCCCTGGAACAGCTACAACATACCTCCTGCCCGATACATCATACTGCACCCAATTTTCTACCCACGAGGCACCCACGGTAGTGCTGCATACCTAAACCCACTTTTAGGTTCAGGTCCGGATTCAAGTCCAGAGGTTTAGGTTCAGTTCCAAACTTGTAAGTCCGGACCTAAACCCATGGCATATACAAAATTGCATGTTGGCAACCTTGCAATGTTGTCTGGGTGAAACTTTGGCCGCATAACATGGAGGCCGACACTTGACGATGCCCGATGGCAATGTTTTCTTCATTTTGCAACAAAGATTTTGCAATCTATGGAAGGGTTTAGGTGGTTTGGAAAGAAAAGGGGTATGTGAAATGGTATTTTATGGAAATAAGTCCGGACTCGGTTCTTGACTTTTAGGTTTTTTTGGACTTGAACCTAAACATTCTTACAAGTCCGGATCCAAGTCCAGTGAACCGGTATGCAGCACTAACCCACGGTCCCATCTGATACCCACTCCGACCTTGGCATTTGACTTGGCAGCGTGACCCGTGATTGGACAAACATTGACGTAAGATCAGATCCCTGGTCGGGGGGCTAGAGGGGCTGGTCGCTATCAGTTGTGAGAATCACTGCAGTGGTCTGAACCCATTCCAACAGTTTTAGAGGTCAGTAACAATTACGGTAACTGAAAATAGCAAGCAGTGCACATCTGCACAGTTACACTACAACATCTGTACACATAGCTTTCTTGAACTTCCTTTTTTGGTCTTATGATCAAACTTCTTTTATATTTCATTGTTTCATGTAGGTCCCTTTCAGAGGCCAAATCGATACATTTTTTTATTGATTTGAGAAAAAAGATCACTTGTAATATTTTTAGTGTTTGATCACCCTTTTTTTCACAGCTATGATGTTAAAGTCATTATAACTTTACCTACAACCCCCACAGTGCCACCTGAGGGTTGTTTATCTGAACTGTGATCCCGAGAAAGTGCTTTGACTGGCACACCACCCCCTCTGAGGCAAAAAAAGCACTTGAGGGAACCCCAGGCAATGTAGCAATGGTGTCTGGCTGTGACTTTGACAGCTTCTATAAACAGCTAAAAGGAGAGGGGAAGATGGGAATGTGGTTTGAATGACAACTATACAGAGGAAAACCAAGCGTCGTTTCGCCATATCTTAGTAAAGCGGTGGAAGTTATACCTACCTGTATATGACATGGGAGTTCATTTTCAGGCCACTTCAACAATATTGCAGTGTGTCTGCGGCCATGTTGGATTCTCTATTTGTATTCTAATGAACCATAGCTCAAACATTTGCAATATTTTACAATCCTTAAAATCCTTACAATAGTTTCATCACTTTCATGATTTTTATTTGTTAAGTCTGAAGGAGGCGGGCTCCATATAAGGCTTCTAGGCTTCCTCCCCCTCCTTCACACTGTTTTATCCTTCTAGTCTTTAATTAGTATGTGTATAATATGTGCGAATAAATAGAAAAGAACAAAACAAATGTTTACAAACATTTAAAGATGTTCTGACCCTCGCAAATAACCCCTATCAAATGCCCAAAACCAGAAGAATACTTTCAAATCTTGCCAATGAAGACATAGAAATTTCTACATTCATTGATGTAAAAGCGCTCTTTTGAACTATTAGAGCCTGTTGAAGATGTAGTGATATTCTTAGCAACAGCAACAACATGTATCAGTCTGTTAAAGAAACTACAGTCGCAAAAGGCATCCATTGCAATAAATGATATACGGTGTTGCTTTCATCTTGGTGTCTCGAAATGTGATCCTAGCTTTACTCCCAGCCTATCTCCCTTCTAACCAGCCCTGGAATTGCCGAAAGAAGATAAGAAGAGATCAGCATCAGTACACTGCTTCAGGTGCAATCGAATATTTCTAATGGTACCGACAGATCCTGCCCACTCCTTTTAATGGTTAGCTGGAGTGGCGATGTCTGAGTTGCCGCTTCAGACGTTAGCGCTGTTAGACGTACGTAAAAGGAACAAAACTTGATGTATTCCTCAGCATGAAAGTTCATCTGAGTTGGTAAATTACATTATGAAAAACTTAAACTGTTCTCCAACTCAAAATTTGGATCTGGAGGGGGTCAGAATCTTGGATACCAAACAGGATTACTTCAAGAGAGGCATAAAAGAGGCCATCTACATCAGGGCACTTCAACCATCGCTCAACCGGGACGGGGGGCGATATCGACTTCAGACAACCTTTGACCCTTTGCTGACGTCACACGTGGGAAAAATCACGTGTCCACAGCATTTGGGTCAGATAGCTGAGGAAGACTGAGTGATTCAGTCGAAAATTTCTGGTGAGTCAAATTTTGAGTTGGAGAACAGTTTAAGTTTTTCATATTGATGTATTCCTGTTAGCCTGATTAAATCCTTTTACAGTTGCCGCCCGCCCAGCATCCAGCCGACCCCCGAAAATGCCACTAAAGCCGCGGACGGCAGAGTTTGCGTTACAGAGACTACATTGTACATTCCTGTGGAAACGATCGAACCGACTTTTAGTGACCGAGGGCAGTTAGCGTAGGTGGGTTGGGTGTAGACGCAAGGCGGTTCTTTCAATTATAACCTCGACATTCATTAACATGCCAACTGTACATCTTGATAAGCCTTCCTAAGCCCTAGACTATTCTTTTCTTGCAAAGAGTTTGCTTTATCAAAATTCCCAGCTAAATTTTGTCCACTGCCACAAAATTATAGGTACAGAAAAAGAGGTGTATAATTCATGATATAGTGTGGTGTAAGTCGGCCTCTGAACGTGTTACAAACGTTGTATAATAGAGTTGAGAGGATGCTTGTGACATAGTAGTACAAATGTACACAGATGTGACAAAAAGAGTTTCTTTCGGACGATTTTGCCATAGCCTTGTGGGGAATCGTACGACCAAAAAACTTTTAAAAGCATCGTATGCGTACGACATCACCACACTTTCGACGTCCAAGCGCCATACGATCA